GTTTACATGATGCATTTTTATTCCGAATGGCCGTTTAATCCGATTACTTATGTCCATGTAAACGTGGCTAGTGATGCAATGAAAAAACGATAGCACAGCGTTTTTGTTAATGGTTATAAAAAATCTGAGGTGTGTATTCTGTTATTTATTTATTTTTATTAGTTCACTTTGAGTTGGGGCGGCACTGTGGCTCAGTTGGTAGAGTTATTGCCTCTCAGCAAGAAGGTTGCCAGATCAAATCCTGGCCGGAGACCTTGCTAGATAGAGTTTGCATATTGTCTCTGTGCATGTGTGGGTTTTCTCCAGATGCTCCCAAAAAAAAAAAAACATGCATGTTAGGTTAATTGGCAACTCTAAATTGTCCCTAGGTGGAATGATAATGGATGGATGCTCTGAGTTGACCCCAGCTTGACACACTTCATAAGAATTTTGCTCAGATTCAGCAACACATTATTGTCATCGCTGACATCTGCTGCAGGTAAAATGCTGACTAGTCAAAACCATTTTTCTTAAAAAACACCTGACATTTAAGCTTTTAAATGCCTCAGATCTTTAAAAAGACATCCATTAAAGCAACATTGACATATTTTTCTTTTCTTTATTTGAGAATCAGACGCCTGCCTCTGCASTGGGAGATTGCTTAACATTAAGGGGTTGAAAGATTGCTGCTGAGTTGTCCCAATAAAGATTCCCAATGAGTTAAAGCTACAACAAACACAGACCAGGTGTCACTCCTGATCTATAATGTCTTTGTTGTCCAGCAATAATCACAGTATTCCAAATTAATCATGCTAAACAAACCCACTAAAATATACAGTTAAAGATTTTTTAGACCTACTTTTACTTTTCTTTCTCATGTGTTTGCCTTCCTCCCTCTTACCTAACCTTTTCATTTCCGTCRAGAGGCAGAGGTGTAACACGATAGCTTCTTATACAGTAGTCTGCAGCCTGTTCTGCCTGCAGTAAGAGTCACTCAGCTGTGGCTGCTCAGGCACAAGACAGAAAAGKGCTTTGCCAGCTTTCTGTTTGACCAGCGTGACTGCAGGTTCCAGGTGACACAGCTGTCACTGTCGCTTGTTCCTCTGCTGCTTTGTGTTCTCCGCTGYGACGCTGTCGTGTCGCGGCACGTTGGCGGAACACTGGGTGGGAGGTTGAAATGGTAGAACAGCTGGAAACATCCACAGAGCCCCAGACTGAACCACAGCAGCAGCTGAAGTCCGAACAATAACAACCACTTCTAGGCCAAGAGTTTACGTGTCACAGCTGCAGCCGTGCACGCAACCAGCAGCTGTGGAGCGAGGGGTCAAAAACGAGCAGTTAATGCATCACGTAAGGTGTCATCTCTCCGTTTTTTTTATTTATTTATGTTTTTACAAATCACAGTTTGTTTTAAACTGACTTTCTAATATATAGCTTAACGGGACTGCTAAAATTACTTTCATGGATCAGACAGAATGCTTATTGTAAAAAAATAGAATCTGAACATGAGAACGAGATGACAAAAACTGTCCAAGTTTCACTCTGACCTTCAAACACGTAAACTTTCTAAAGTCAAAAGGAAAAGGCAGAATTGACGCCGTTTCTACGTTAAAAAAATGAAAAGAAAAAGTGTGATCATCTGAAATAAATTGAACTTTAAATAATTCAGCCTTAGATCATGTAGAGCCTGTGCCAGTTTTGTGTCACATGTCATCGCGGTCCTTGAGTGTATTTTTTTTTTCTGTGACAGAGCAGGGCAACAAGGAGCTGCCATCAAATCGGGGCGTATTTTCGAACCGGCTCGTGACATTTGAATTGGCGTGTTGACCGACCTGAGGCACCTCTCGAAGCAGCTCCATGTACCGCTCTTGACAGAAATAACATGTACTGAATGGAAGTGAAGATAACCCTGTGACCCAGGAGCTTTAAATCCCTCCAAATGAGTCATACAGATACACAGCTTTTCACCCTAACTGAAAAAAAAAAAACTATCAGCAGTTAACACATCATATCTCTTTTTCCCTCTTTTCTCGTTACTATGAACACAATATGATAGAAAGTTGGGTCTTTCTTTATGTGAAAAACAGTGAATGTTACATGAACAATGCCACACTGTGTACTCCAATAACATAATTTCCTGAAAGGCTACTGTGTGCCCTTTGCTGACTCAAGGCTGCACGTGACGTACCGGCCTTATGCAGCACAAAGCCGTATTCACCTACAGAAATGAAAGAAAAAGGTTTTCATCCCTCTGTCCTGCAGCTGTCCATCCATCTCATTCTCAAAATTGAGACATATCTGAGAAATGGCTTGACAGCAACTTTTTTGGCAGGAACTAAGCAACTTGTACTCAGCTACAGCACATTTACAAAAAAATCGTTTCAACACTGTTGCTTTTATTAGAAAAATAAAGTTGAACGTTCCATTCACGTTTGATCAACAGCTCTGAACAACTGATTCATAACTTTTTATAATTCAAAAAGTGAGGCGATACGATCCATGCAATTCCTCTTAAAGGTGGGTATTATGCAAAATCAACTTTTTCGAGCTTTAAATCATGTTATAATGTCGTTCCCTYATCAAACACAYACCCAGRGTGTTGCTTTGACTCATTCATGCATGTCTGAGAAACCCTTGAATCTTCTGTGAGCTCCATGTGGAGCTGCCTAAATGCTTATTGGTGAAAAGCATCACCTATACAAAGCTCCTCCCCGGACCTCAGTCTGCAGCAGAGCACCCCGCCCCCCCACACTGCTCCACCAGAATAGCAAAACATATCTTAAAGGAGACCAATTATGGGTCCTAGAAATTTTTATGGTATGTCTGTGGGCTATCCAGACCATGTTCATTCAATTTATTGCACAAAATAATTCTCAGATAATAAAATTTCCCATTGTCTAGTTCTGCCTGCTCTGACTTCCGTTCAGAAGAGCTGTTTATGTTAATGAGCTCTGTTGGTAACGCCCTCCAAAAATCTGTTGACATTAACTCCGCCCTCCAAAGCCAGCGTTTACGTTAGCGTGGCTAATAATAGCAGAAGCTCCGTTGTACAACCATATGAGAGACCCAGAGGCAGAGTCGTTCGCAGCTTATTTCTTTTTTTTTTTTCTCCTCCTCCTCTGCTCTGCGCTCACTCTGCATGCTGTTACC